GAGTGTGTGGCTGTTCCTCTGGGATAAGAAGAACCTGTTATTTGACGAAATTGGTTGTAAAGATCCACTCATCTTCAAATCTAGTGTTTTTGGTGGTGATATAAGGACTTGGATATCTAAAGAAACTGCTTTTATGGCTTCCTGTTAGCCAGTGTGGTCAAACGGAAGTTTACTTTTGTAGCTGGTTTGGTATTTCTCAAGGGAGAATAACCTCCAGTTCTGGGGTATATCTGCCACATTTCTAAGCAGTTTGTCCTGAATTTGGTATTCTCAGTTGTGTCCCACAAAGGCATGGTTACACTTGTGAAAAATTCACAGGTTGATGGATTTATGACAATCTGAAAGTACAAGACAATATTTAAAATATGAAAAAACATTAAGAAGGTGACTAATTTCAGGTATAATAAATTTTGTTTAAGATTCTTCGTCAATAAATTTTTAAGGTAACCTGTTAAGACTCTTGAATTTCAGCCCCCCCCCCCCCCAAAAAAAAAAAAAAGATTTATACTTCTGACAATATTAATGAGTTAGTAAATTTGGTCCTAATACAGGTAAATATTTTTCTTTTTCAAAAACATTTGATGTTCAAAACAAAATATTTGAGAGAGAAACATAAACATCATTTGAGGAAATACAAACATCAATACCTTTTAACAACTGTTTAGAGTCAACACTTGGATATGGAAATACAAAGCTGAAAATATTTGTTGCAATTTCTCACAATAAAAATCTTATCTGTTACAGGTCCAAAACCACATGTATTTCTATTTTCTCAAAAAACAGCTCTCTTTCTGATCTATTATTTCACACATGGAAATCACAGAAGATAAAGAATTTAATCTTCCAAAAAGGAACCCATTACAACAATAAACATAATATATTCCTCTAATCATGGACTTCAAATGTCATTTCCTGAACTATCAGAAAAAACTCCATCTGTGAGTTTAGCAATCGGACATCTGCATCATCTTGAAGACATTGGTGAGCCACTAATATGCTGACAATAAAAGATGGTTACCTACTTTTTTGTAACTGTTGTTCTTTGAGATGTGTTGCTCCTTCTCGGGTGCCGGCTGTGCCGGGGGCAGGTTGTCTGATGCAGCCTGGGAGGAACAATGGGAGTACGGAACCGGTACAAGAGGTACACCCCACGGGTTCCAGTACTGCCACTGGACAGGCCATTGCCCCTGCCTCCACACCACTGCCACAGGAGCCACGCTGGTCTCACGGGTCAGTGGTGATTTGCCTTTTATAGGTGAGGGGCTGAACTCCCCTTGAGGCTTGGACCCTTCCCGTGTTAACTTTGCCCTTCCGGTGACCAGGGTGGAGCCATAGATGCCTGCATCTGCTGATTGAACCTAGTCGGTGACCGGTAAGGAGAGAGTGAAGATCGGTGCCTGTCCAAGGAGCGGTACCAGGGAGCCAGAGATTGTTGCCATGACTGGGAACGATCCCGCATGCAGGGGGATTGATGCTGGGAGACTGCCTAGGCCAGAGGTGGGCAAACTTTTTTGCCCAAGTGCCACATCTGGATATGGAAATTGTATGGTGGGCCACGAATGCTCATAAAATTGGGGTTCAGATGCAGGAGGGGGTGAGGGCTCCAACGGGGGGGGGGGGGCTCTGGAATGGGCCAGAAATTAGGAGTTCAGGGTGTGGGAGGGGGCTCCAGGCTGGGGCACAGGGTTGGGGTGTGGGAGGGGGTAAGAGCTCCAGCTGGGGGTGTGTGCTTTGCGGTGGGGCTGAGGATGAGGAGTTGGAGGTGCAGGAGGGTGCTCCAGGCTGGGACTGAGGGGTTCGGAGGGCAGGAGGGGGATCAGGGCTGGGGCAAGGGATCGGGACACAGAAGGAGGTCGGGGTGCAGGCTCTGGGCAACGCTTACCGCAATCAGCTCCCAGAAGCAGAGGCATGTCCCCCCTCCGGCTCCTACACAGATGGGGACTGAGGCTACAGTGCTGGGATCCAAGGCCAGAGCAACGTGGACTGACACCTGTGGTCTGGGGATCAGGGACGCTCTGCTGCTTTAGGGGGTGGTCCCATAACTGGCTTGCCCATAGATGCCAGGGCCTTGGCTGGGTCCGTCACCTGGCTTGGCCTCTGTTGTGCTGGTCAGCCTGCTTGCTCTTTTCCCACGGGGCCGACTTCAGGCACAGATGACCATACTAGGGGCCGGGACCCGTTGTTGCTCCCAGGAGCAGGAGGCGGGTCTCTGGCTGGACTAGGGGGTCCGACCGCAGCAGTACCCACAAGCAGCTCTGGGGTGGCCATGTGGCCTGACAGGTCTTTTGCCCGAAGTCCCCTTTTCCTGCACTGCTGGAGGCCCATCAACTTCAACTGCTTCTTAGGCACCGGGGAGGGAGAATGGTGCCAGGAGGGTTCCGGTGCCAGTATTGAGCTGCGCACCAATCCAGGATGCCAGGCGTGGAGTCCAATCAAGAGGGACAAAGCACAGATTCCACAGGAGAGTCCTCAGGCAGATATCCCGCTCCTTCTGAGTTCAAGGATGAAAGTTTTTGCAGATCCTGCACTTATCCTTTCTGTGGGACTCCCCCAAACACTTTAAACTGCTCTTGTGGGGGGTCACTAATGGCAATTGGCCGGCTGCACAATGAACATGGCTCAAAGCCTGGAGAACAGGGCATGCCCAGCTCCGAGGCGAAGTCCCAGCCTAGACTCTAACTCCTAAACAACTAACATTTAGACTTAGTTAGACCTTTAAGTTAACAACGAACAACAAAGGGTGACAGAATAATGGATTGTAAGAACCGCTAACGCTCCTAAGAAGGAACTGAGAGGATGTAGGGTTAAGCAGTGCCTAATATACCAGCACATGAGCGTGGCATTCAAGAAGGCACTACAGCCAATCCTACGGGTACCGCTAAGGCAAAAATCTCCGGTGACTGTGCACATGGGCATGCACAAACCTAGAATGGAATCGACATGAACAAGCACTCAAAGAAAAACTAACTATACACATTTGCGTATTACAATATAGAGAGGCAAGGATAGCTCAGTTTAAAGCAAGATCTTAACTCGGAATGCGAATATTCCTAACTTCCATAGCTCTACTGTATTTTTCACACATTAATTCACTTTCAAATTTCATGTATACCACTACCCCGATATAACATGGGTTTGCATACAATGTGATAAAGCTTCGACACGCTGCTCTGAGCAGCGTGTCAAAGGTGCCAGGCCGGGCCAGGACCAAAGGGCTGGATAAGGGGCAGAGGGTCTCGGCAGAGGTCAGGGGCTCCCCCATCCCCAGGGTCTGGGAGGCAGGAGCTCTGGGGTGGCATTTTGGGGGGTCCCGCAGTTCCAGAGCGGCCTGGGGAATTAGCTGGGGGCCGGGAACAGCCCGCTCCGCTTCCCTCACCCCAGCCCCAGCTGTGTTGCTCAGGGGAGGGGGCTTAGGGGAAGGGATCCCCCCTGCACGCACTGGCAGCAGCAGAAGCGGAGCAGCCCGGCCCCAGCCTGCTCCACTCCGCCAGCTCCCAGCCGCAGGACTCCGTTTGCCGCCGCAGGTGAGTGCGGGACCTTTCCCCAACCCTCCCCCCAGCAACACAGCTGGGGCCGAGGCAAGAAAAGCGGAACGGTCTGGGGCCGCATCACTCCAATTCCCACCACAGATGAGTGCGGGAGGCGTCCTTTCCCCAACCTCCCCGCACTCAGCATCGGCTGGAAGCGGAGAGCCATGGCTGGGAGGTGGCGGAGTGGAGTGGGTTGGGGCTGCATTGCTCCGCTTCCCGTCGATGCCAGTGAGTACCTGTCACGGGGCGGGGTGTGCGGATGGGGTCAGAGCAGTCAGGGAACCTATAACGCGGTGAGATTTTTTGTCTCCCGAAGACTGCGTTATATCGGGGTAGAGGTGTATTTGGCATATAGACTTACTGATTTGTAGGTAATGAAGTTTGAAATGATCTGTAAGAAAACAGCTGGCATTGCATGATGTTTTTACATGAATAAGACAATTTTAAACCAAATATTGCACAAATTCTAACACTAATCTAGGATTTTTTTAGGTCTGAAGTTTGAGATACGACCGAACATTAAATAATTAACCTATTACTTTACCACCTGAAAAGACTAACGTTACTGAATTCCCATCAAGGTAAAATGCAACTTATGAATACAAAAATTGTGGTCAAATTCACTCGCAAAACTCTGCAGAGTATGCAAAGATATTTTTACATAAATTTTTGTGGATTAATTCTTCTCAGACATGAACAGCATGAAGAGCTGTGCCTTGTGGCAGAACTTGTTCAGAGCCCAATGAATGTAGCCAAGGAAGAAGTTTACAGACCTTTGCTCAACTTACAAGTAAAGCAGAGATAAATGGTATTGAGTAGATGCCAGAATTTGGTATTAACACTAATACAAATCAGCTGAGAAGATAAGACGAATAGTTTGTCTCAGCCAACTGGACAAACTACAGAGTTTTGCAGTTCCACGGTACCAACTGAATCAAAGCTGCCATTTTAAACCTTTAAAAACACAAGCTATGAGACCAGGAAAAGCTTAAGTCAGTTTTCAATTTTTGTGATGAGGGGATAGCTGGAGAAAGAGCAAACATTTAAAATATATGCAGGGCCTTATTTCTTCTGATGCAAGAATCCATGACAGCTACAATTAAATTAGGTTGATGTTTAATCTTTCCTTTAAAAATGAAGCAGGCCTTGTAGCAGCTACTGATTTAGCACTCTAAACTCTTCCACTGAAATCACTCGTGCACAGAATTTCTGGGCTCCGACTCAAAAAACCAATTTATAAGTCCCCATTCTATCTCTGAAAATTGTATTAGACTATTTGTTTAGTATCAAACAGCAGAAATGAGGCCTCATTTGTATAGGTATACTAGTTCAACAGGGGAAAAATGTTATAAAAATAAATTATTCAAATTACACAACTGGATAATAAGATCCATTTTCACAAGTACAACTTTTAAATACATTTACAGTAGCAGAAATATACTGATTTCTTAATCCACTCTCCATACTTACCAACTCTGAACTAGCCCAACTGAAGGCCTGTTTAGCAAGTTATCAGGCAGCAAATTGACTTCTCTCATGGTATTAGCTAGCCGCACAGGAAGTTCTTTCCGTAGGAACATATATGATGTTTTCTCACATGCATTATCACGTCCTGTTAGAAAAAATAAAGAATTCTATTGCAATAGACTATGGTTTAGAATTTGCAACTCTAGAATGAAATAAATGTTTATCTTTGAAAACAAAGATCAATTAAAGTACCCTTAAGTCTCGTCCCCCTTTGATCCCTCCAGTTCCCTTTTTCAGGACACCACATTTATCTTTACCTCTTTAGCTCCTTTCCCATGTCCATCTGTCAGTACCCCTTCCAAAGCCCTCTTTCCCTCATATCTTCAGGTTCCACCTGTCTGAGAAGGTCCCGCCCCGAATCATTCTTCCAAGCTTTACCCAATCACAATTTGTCTCTAGTGCTCAAAACCTCTATCCCAGCCACACTCACGTGATTGAAAAAAACTTATTGTAAAAGAAAAACAATTTACAGTAATTTTCTCCAATACAAGGAGGCTTTTTTCTATTGCTTTTGTTGTAGAAGCAATTCCATAATAATTGTACTTCTTCAATGCTCTTTACTACAATGCTAGCACTTCTGCTCTAGAAAAGCTACTATTATTGTAGAATCATTTGATACAAGGATTACTTAGATTCCCTTTAAATAAGCATTAAATAAACTAGCCTATACAGGATAAAATGCCTACCTACTCTTCTAAGTACTACGACAGATCTGTGTGTATGTATAAAATCTCCTCACTGTACTTTCCACTTTATGCATCCAATGAAGCGAGCTGTAGCTCACGAAAGCTTATGCTCCGATAAACTGGTTAGTCCCTAAGGTGCCATAAGTACTCCTTTTCTTTTTGCGAATACAGACTAACACAGCTGCTACTCTGAAATCTGTATACAAAACTACTCGAGATAGTTAAGTCCCAGGCAGACAGCTACAAAAGGATCTCTCAAAACTGGGTTACTGGGCAACAAAACGGCAGACAAAATTCAATGTTGATAAACGCAAAGAAATGCACATTGGAAAACATAATCATCTATACATATAAAATGATGGGGTCTAAATTAGCTGTTACCACTCAAGAAAGAGATCCTGGAGTCATTGTGGATAGTTCTCTGAAAACATCCACTCGATGTGCAGCGGCAGTCAAAAAAGCTAACAGACTGCTGGGAATCATTAAAAAAAGGATAGATAAGACAGAAAATATCATATTGCCTCTATATAAATCCATGGTACGCCCACAACTTGAATACTGTGTGCAGATGTGGTCACCCCATCTCAAAAAAGATATATTGGAACTGGAAAAAGTTCAGAAAAGGGAACCAAAAATGATTAGGGATATGGAACAGCTTCCATATGAAGAGAGATCAATAAGACTTGGACTTTTCAGCTTGGTACAGAGATGATTAAGGGGGGATATGACTGAGGTGTATAAAATCATGACTGGTGTGGAGAAAGTAAATAAGGAAGTGCTATTACTCCTTCTCATAACACAAGAACTAGGGGGTCACCAAATGAAATTAATAAGCAGCAGGTTTAAAAACAAACAAAAGGAAATATTTCTTCACACAACACACAGCCAACCTGTGGAACTCTTTCCCAGAGGATGTTGTGAAATCCACGACTATAACAGGGTTCAAAAAAGAACTATATAAATTCATGGAGGATAGGTCCATCAATGGCTATTTGCCAGGATGGGCAGAGATGGTGTCCCTAGACTCTGTTTGCCAGAAGCTGGGAATGAGCGACAGGGAATGGATCACTTGATGATTACCTGTTTTATTCATTCCCTCTGGGGCACCTGGCATTGGCCACTGTTGGAAGACAGGATACTGAGCTGGATGGATCTTTGGTCTGACCCAGTATGGCCGTTCTTATTTATCAAAGTTGAGTTGTATAACATAATTTTTGTGTATGTGTATATATATATATATATTCCTTAAGTTTCCTTTGCCAAGTCTCACACTGATGAATTGGCAGATCCACTAGGCTAGTTCTACTGCTTAACGATTTGTCAGTACGTAACAGAACCTCTTTAAACAAAAGTCTGTTTTTTATTCTCAACTAATACCTTGATCTACCTGCATATCCTCTCCTATATTTTTTCTAACATAAAATATAAGTTTTATAGATAACCAGTGGTTCCAGTAACCTAACCAATTTATATGCTAGCTTTACTTTTACACTTTTCATATTTTATGCAAGCTGGAAAGCTTTGGTTGCCATTATACATAAAAATCTTGCCCATAATCAGAGTTCAATTAAACATTTCAAAGACCTAAAACAAACACAGATATAATCAACACAAACATGAGGCCCACTTCTGCCCTCAGCTACACAAGTGAAGCTCAATTTCAGTTGCAGTCATAAAAGCAGAACTGGACTCCTTTTTACCAACCCACATTTTGTAAATTCACATACACATGATGTTTCCAGAGTGGTGGTTAGGAAAAAAAAAAACTTAAATTGTAATATCATCAAGCAAATTTAATTGAGTAGAACCATACAATGCCATTTTTATAATCACTTTTTCAACTATAAGCACTTTTTAAACTGTACTTTATGAGCCTAAGTCTGCCTTTGTCCAGTTAAATTATTAAACCTTTACATTCCTATAAAGTCAATTGTGTTTAGTATTAGCAGAAATATTGAAAACTTCTGGCAAACTCAGTTACAATATTACTGTAAAGACAGCAACTTTTTGACTGTTAATATTTGCAATACCCAGGGTAAAAGATGCAGAAGGAAAACTAATTTCACAGCAGTGAATCTGTGGAACTAAGTTTCCTGGTTTAGCTCCATAGCTTAAAAATGTTTCATGATCAAAATATTCCTTTCAATTTCGTTTCATTTCTAAGGTGAATTTTTAAAACGGTCATACTTCAAGACTTTGCTTTGGAAACTATTTATATTCTGTGCTTCCAAAGTCAAAGTTTAGTTAACATTGCTATAAAAACTGCCTTTTGCATTCTAATAGCAGTACTAAATAGGGAAAGCAAAATAAAATTAGGCCCTGGTCCACCAAAAAAGTTAACTCTGTAGTTATTGGGCTACAAAAGCTTTGTGCCATAGCTGGAGAAACCTATGAGCAAATTATTTCTGAATGGCAGCACTCTGTGCATCCTTCTCCCTATACTTACATACAGTGGAAGTTGTGAACAGCCAGACTGCCATACCAGTATATCGCAACCTGGTTTCTCAAAGGGCTTTTCCAAGAATATCCAAAGAGAAGGCATAGTCAACACAGCCTGTTAACTTGTGAAGAGGGCAGAAGGGGGAGTGAGCTAACATGTTCTTTCCAGCTGTCCTGGGCCGCAGACTGCCCACTGCTGCTCTCAGGCCATGACTACTCTACCACTTTTGTTGGTATAATTTATGTCGCTCAGGGATGTGAAAAAACATACATCCCTGCGTGACATAAGTCAGACCAACAGAAACGCCAGTGTGGACAATGCTATGTCAGCGGGAGAGCTTCTCCCACCGACAGAGCTACCGCCACTCATGGAGGCAGTTTTATTATGCGACAGGAGAGTTCTGTCAGCATAGAGCGGCTACACGAGCGATCTTACAGCAGCCCAGCTGCATCGGTACAGCTGTGCCACTGTAAACTTTCTAGTATAAACTTGGCCTAAGAAAATTGAAATTTCATTTGAGTTTCCACTTTAATCTTAAAATGTATCACTTTACTGGATTCCCATTGTGTGAATAAACAGAAGCATTCATTGGAGACATCTGTGTCAAAATATATACACAGGTATTTGAAAGCAATGGTGATGCTTACAGACACTATCCTTCACTGCAGAGCTTAACTGAGTGATTAGGTCAGTGACTATGCCTATTTTCAGATTTCCCACCTTTCCCCAGGAGTATAAAAATCTATGGCAATATGCAAACAGACTGGGTAGGCTCAGACACCTGTGTTTTACTTGTCATGGGCTATAAGTATTCCACTATAAGCAAAAGAGAAATTGAAAGTGTCTTTTGTGACTACGACCAACACACCTGCCTGCAAAATGAACCAAAAATACAAGGTACTGATTAAGATATGTTCAGGCAGCCCAAGGAGGGTTAAAAGCATTGCTATGCATATAATAACTAAGGTTTGCAATTTGAAAACCCCTCAAGCACATTGCAACTGGCACAATCAAGGTCACACTTTAAGGCAGTCCCATTATAATCAGTTGAACAGCACAGCATTCAACATCTGTTCACTGATGGGTACACTGGCAAGACAGCCCCCAACTGGGCTTTAAAACAAGCATTTGAGGCTTTTTTTGTGTGCTCATTTAAGGCATGTCAGTCAATGGACTGTTATGCTCTATTGGCATCAGTAATTATTGATTTAATCCTGCAAATTCTCAATTATTTTACTCACATATGTTTTTGCAGGATCTGTCCCTTCAGTTACACATAAGTAAATTCTGTAAATGTTGTATTAGTCAGCAACTCTTAGCCACCAAAGTAACTAATTATGAAACTGTATCGTTGCTTTCAATAAGATACACTGATGATTAAGGCTGCGTGTCAGTCATGGAAGTCACGGATTCCGTGACTTTCTGGGGCCTGTGTGACTTCTTCAGCAGCCGGTGCAGCTGACTTCGGGGCCAGCCGCACCTGCTGCTGCTTGGCCATTGCCCCGCAGTAACTGGTCCCGGGCATTGCGGCGGAGCAACAGTAGCATCCCGAACCAACCTCCCACCTGGAGCAGCAGCAGTCGGTGCTGCCACTCCTCCCTCCCCAGCAGCAGGGGGGGCGCCCGGAGCACACCCCGCACCCAGAGTGGCAGCAGCCCCGGGGCCCCAGAGCGCCCCACCCCCACAGAGAAGCAGCATCCATGGGAGTGACCCTCCCACAGAGCAGCAGCATACCCATGATTAAATCGTATCCTTACTGATGATATACAATAGGAATCCTATTTTGTCATGTAACTTATTAGATTAAAAAAATCTTAGCATTTTGGCCCCCCATGTAACAACCTGGTATTGGTTTTCTCTGTGTAGCTACTTGAAAAAATTCCTGAAGAAAATGGGAAGGAAACTCAGGTAAGGGACAGGAGTTTTATTTGTCAATGAAGTGGCAGATTTGGCCCCCAACCCATAGATTTCTGGCCACCCTAAGGGGACAGAACAATTTTCATGTAGTCCCAGGACCTCTGCAGAGTTTCCTTGACTCCCAGCTACAGTCTCAGCAGTTGGGCTGCCATGCATCAAAAGCCATCCTCAAAAAGGAATGGGGAGGTAGGGAAAGAGAAAAGAGGGATTATTGCTCATCTGAGCAGCACTAACTGTGGATGTTTTTCCAGACTGAAATCCCCTTAAACTCTGTGAAGCAGAGGGTAGGATATGGTCCATTATTTTATTCATAACCATCTTAATTATCACTACTGAAGTTTTTTTCTCCTGCTGATAATAGCTCATCTTAACTAATTAGCCTCTCACACTTTGTATGGCAACTTCCACCTTCTCTGTATGGATATAATCTTCTTACTATATGTTCCATTCTATGTATCCGATGAAGTGGGCTGTAGCCCACGAAAGCTTATGCTGTAATAAATCTGTTAGCCCTGGTCTACACTAGGACTTTAGGTCGAATTTAGCAGCGTTAAATCGATGTAAACCTGCACCCGTCCACACAATGAAGCCCTTTATTTCGACTTAAAGGGCTCTTAAAATCGATTTCCTTACTCCACCCCTGACAAGTGGATTAGCGCTTAAATCGACGTTGCCGGCTCGAATTTGGGGTACTGTGGACACAATTCGATGGTATTGGCCTCCGGGAGCTATCCCAGAGTGCTCCATTCTGACCGCTCTGGACAGCTCTCTCAACTCAGATGCACTGGCCAGGTAGACAGGAAAAGAACCGCGAACTTTTGAATCTCATTTCCTGTTTGGCCAGCGTGGCAAGCTGCAGGTGACCATGCAGAGCTCATCAGCACACGTGACCATGATGGAGTCCCAGAATCGCAAAAGAGCTCCAGCATGGACCGAACGGGAGGTACGGGATCTGATCGCTGTTTGGGGAGAGGAATCCGTGCTATCAGAACTCCGTTCCAGTTTTCGAAATGCCAAAACCTTTGTCAAAATCTCCCAGGGCATGAAGGACAGAGGCCATAACAGGGACCCGAAGCAGTGCCGTGTGAAACTGAAGGAGCTGAGGCAAGCCTACCAGAAAACCAGAGAGGCAAACAGCCGCTCTGGGTCAGAGCCCCAAACATGCCGCTTCTATGATGAGCTGCATGCCATTTTAGGGGGTTCAGCCACCACTACCCCAGCCGTGTTGTTTGACTCCTTCAATGGAGATGGAGGCAATACGGAAGCAGGTTTTGGGGACGAAGAAGATGAGGAGGAGGAGGTTGTAGATAGCTCACAGCAAGCAAGCGGAGAAACCGGTTTTCCCGACAGCCAGGAACTGTTTCTCACCCTAGACCTGGAGCCAGTACCCCCCGAACCCACCCAAGGCTGCCTCCTGGACCCAGCAGGCGGAGAAGGGACCTCTGGTGAGTGTACCTTTTAAAATACTATGCATGGTTTAAAAGCAAGCATGTGAAAGGATTACTTTGCCCTGGCATTTGCGGTTCTCCTAGATGTAGTCCTAAAGCCTTTGCAAAAGGTTTCTGGGGAGGGCAGCCTTATTGCGTCCTTCATGGTAGGACACTTTACCACTCGAGGCCAGTAACACGTACTCGGGAATCTTTGTAGAACAAAGCATTGCAGTGTATGTTTGCTGGCATTCAAACAACATCCGTTCTTTATCTCTCTGTGTTATCCTCAGGAGAGTGAGATCTAATTCATGGTCACCTAGTTGAAATAGAGTGCTTTTCTTCAGGGGACACTCAGAGGAGCCCATTCCTGCTGGGCTGTTTGCCTGTGGCTAAACAGAAATGTTCCCCGCTGTTAGCCACAGAGAGGGGGGAAGGTTGAGGGGGTAGTCACGCGGTGGGAGGAGGCAAAATGCGACCTTGTAACGAAAGCACATGTGCTATGTATGTAATGTTAACAGCAAGGTTTACCCTGAAAGAGTGTAGCCACTGTTTTATAAACTGTGTCTTTTTAAATACCGCTGTCCCTTTTTTTTTCTCCACCAGCTGCATGTGTTCAAATGATCACAGGATCTTCTCCTTCCCAGAGGCTAGTGAAGCTTAGAAAGAAAAAAAAAACGCACTCACGATGAAATGTTCTCCGAGCTCATGCTGTCCTCCCACACTGACAGAGCACAGACGAATGCGTGGAGGCAAATAATGTCAGAGTGCAGGAAAGCACAAAATGACCGGGAGGAGATGGCGGGCTGAAGACAGGGCTGAAGCTCAAATGTGGTGGCAGCGTGATGAGAGGAGGCAGGATTCAATGCTGAGGCTGCTGGAGGACCAAACCAGTATGCTCCAGTGTATGGTTGAGCTGCAGCAAAGGCAGCTGGAGCACAGACTGCCACTGCAGCCCCTCTGTAACCAACCGCCCTCCTCCCCAAGTTCCATAGCCTCCACACCCAGACGCCCAAGAACGCGGTGGGGGGGCCTCCGGCCAACCAGCCACTCCACCACAGAGGATTGCCCAAAAAAAAGAAGGCTGTCATTCAATAAATTTTAAAGTTGTAAACTTTTAAAGTGCTGTGCTTAAAAAGTGTTGTGTGGCATTTTCCTTCCCTCCTCCACCACCCCTCCTCGGCTACCTTGGTAGTCATCCCCCTATTTGTGTGATGAATGAATAAAGAATGCATGAATGTGAAGCAACAATGACTTTATTGCCTCTGCAAGCGGTGACTGAAGGGAGGAGGGGAGAGTGGTTAGCTTACAGGGAAGTAGAGTGAACCAAGGGGCGGAGGGCTTCATCAAGGAGAAACAAACAGAACTTTCACACCGTAGCCTGGCCAGTCATGAAACTGATTTTCAAAGCTTCTCTGATGCGTACCGCGCCCTCCTGTGCTCTTCTAACCGCCCTGGTGTCTGGCTGCGCGTAACCAGCAGCCAGGCGATTTGCCTCAACCTCCCACCCCGCCATAAACGTCTCCCCCTTACTCTCACAGATATTGTGGAGCACACAGCAAGCAGTAATAACAGTGGGAATATTGGTTTCGCTGAGGTCTAAGCGAGTCAGTAAACTGCGCCAGCGCGCCTTTAAACGTCCAAATGCACATTCTACCACCATTCTGCACTTGGTCAGCCTGTAGTTGAACAGCTCTTGACTACTGTCCAGGCTGCCTGTGTACGGCTTCATGAGCCATGGCATTAAGGGGTAGGCTGGGTCCCCAAGGATACATATAGGCATTTCAACATCCCCAACAGTTATTTTCTGGTCTGGGAATAAAGTCCCTTCCTGCAGCTTTTGAAACAGACCAGAGTTCCTGAAGATGCGAGCATCATGTACCTTTCCCGGCCATCCCACGTTGATGTTGGTGAAACGTCCCTTGTGATCCACCAGAGCTTGCAGCACTATCGAAAAGTACCCCTTGCGGTTTATGTACTAGCCGGCTTGGTGCTCTGGTGCCAAGATAGGGATATGGGTTCCGTCTTTGGCCCCACCACAGTTAGGGAATCCCATTGCAGCAAAGCCATCCACTATGACCTGCACATTTCCCAGGGTCACTACCCTTGATATCAGCAGATCTTTGATTGCGTGGGCTACTTGCATCACAGCAGCCCCAACAGTAGATTTGCCCACTCCAAATTGATTCCCAACTGACCGGTAGCTGTCTGGTGTTGCAAGCTTCCACAGGGCTATCGCCACTCGCTTCTCAACTGTGAGGGCTGCTCTCATCTTGGTATTCATGCGCTTCAGGGCAGGGGAAAGCAAGTCACAAAGTTCCATGAAAGTGCCCTTACGCATGCGAAAGTTTCGCAGCCACTGGGAATCGTCCCAGACCTGCAACACTATGCGGTCCCACCAGTCTGTGCTTGTTTCCCGAGCCCAGAATCGGCGTTCCACAGCATGAACCTGCCCCATTAGCACCATGATGCATGCATTGGCAGGGCCCATGCTTTCAGAGAAATCTGTGTCCATGTCCTGATCACTCACGTGACCGCGCTGACATCGCCTCCTCGCCCGGTATCGCTCTGCCAGGTTCTGGTGCTGCATATACTGCTGGATAATGCGTGTGGTGTTTAATGTGCTCCTAATTGCCAAAGTGAGCTGAGCGGCCTCCATGCTTGCCTTGGTATGGCGTCCACACAGAAAAAAGGCGCGGAACGATTGTCTGCCGTTGCTCTGACGGAGGGAGGGGCGACTGACGACACGGCTTACAGGGTTGGCTTCAGGGAGCTAAAATCAACAAAGGGGGTGGCTTTACATCAAGGAGTATTTCAGGCAGGAGTTCACGGAGGGTTCCAATAAGAAATGGTGCACCTAAGTTATCGTTCTTATTGGAACAAGAAGGTTAGCCTGGCCTCTGATTGATACATGGCTAGATTTACCTCGCTGCACCTTCTCTGTGAGTGACTGCAGTGTGACCTAGAAGAATGAGTCCCCTAGATGGGGGAAGGGGGGGAAGCAAATGAGTACAGAACAAATCTGGTCTATTTCTTGTTTTGATCCACTCCATCTATCTTTTACATCTTTGGCTGGCAGCAGACGGTGCAGAAGGACTGCATGCCATCCACATCTCATGGCTGCTCGGCAGAAGATGGTACAGTACGACTGCTAGCAGTCCGTATCGCCTGCCCGCTCACCATAAGACGGTTCAATAGGACTGACTGCAGGACTAAAGAGAATGACCTGGTCAAGTCACTCCAAATTTAGTCCCTGCGCCCATGTCTGCCCAGGCGCTCCTGATCGACCTCACAGAGGCGACCAGGAGCACCTCGGACATGACAATAACAGCTACTAGTTGTACTGTACCATCTGCTACCACAAGGCAAGGGGTTGCTGCTACTGTGTAGCAATGCAGTACCGCATCTGCCAGCACCCAGGAGACATAGGGTGACGGTTACCTGAGCGGGCTCCATGCTTGCCGTGGTATGGCGTCTGCACAGGTAACTCAGGAAAAAAGGCGCGAAACGATTGTCTGCCCTTGCTTTCACGGAGGGAGGGAGGGAACGGGGGCCTGACGATATGTACCCAGAACCACCCGCGACAATGTTTTAGCCCCATCAGGCATTGGGATCTCAACCCAGAATTCCAATGGGCAGCGGAGACTGCGGGAACTGTGGGATAGCTACCCTCAGTGCAACGCTCTGGAAGTCGACTCTAGCCTCGGTACTGTGGAAGCGCTCCGCCGAGTTAATGCACTTAATGCACTTAGAGCATTTTCTGTGGGGACACACACACTTGAATATATAAAACCGATTTCTAAAAAACCGACTTCTATAAATTCGACCTTATTCCGTAGTGTAGACATACCCTTAGTCTCTAAGGTGCCACAAGTACTCCTGGTTTTTTTGCGGATACAGACTAACACAGCTGCTACTCTGAAACCTGTCATTATTTTAGGGAATTACTTCTTAATACAGATATAAAACACTTTTCACAATCAAGATTGACCAAGATGCTCCCCAGGAACCATCATTTATTAAATTTCACAACCTTTTTAACATGTTCAAACTAAAACCAACCTTTGAAAATGAAATTTCTGAACTTATTGTAGTGTTCTTCAAACTTTTTGTTATACTGATCCATTTTTTCTTTAAAAAAGTATCTCATCTCCTGTCTCCTACAAGTATTAAGTGTTGTCATGGTTTTATTTTTATCACTACAGTTTAGCCAATTCACATACTTCAGGTCAGATTTTAGTACCAGTATTTAGTATTCTGGTATAAATATGGATTAACTCTATTAGCACCAACAGAGTAACTTTGAAATTACATTGGTGTGGTTGAGATTGGAATCTGATCCTAAATTTATAAAGCAGCCTCTTCTAAGGCACTACACTATCATATAGAGTTATAAAATATAATAAAGACATACCACCATGCTTTTAAGACTTCGCATGAAAGGAATAAATAGCAGAGGAAAAGGATGTCCAACAAAGAAAAAGCCAGGCATTGGGAGGGGAGATTTTAAACATGAAGGCGAACAGTGATCATATTTCATATTTTCCCAAAATGTGTTTAACATTTTTTAATTGAATTGTGTAGAAGAGTTGAAGACTTGGTAGATTTCAAGGAGGAACAAATTACAATGGTATAGAAAGGTAAACCACATTACCATAAACATAGCTCTTGTTATAAAATTACTACTCAACAGCCTGCTGTTTTCATACTTGAAGTAATATATCACAAATACATATTTATGTTGTCTTGTTAAATTATATGAAATTAAAAAGCATATATAGCTTTGAGGAGTCATGAATTCCTGCCTAGAAGATGCTAAATTACAAGATATCAAATTCTGCTGAAGTGTGATAAGTAGAACTGTGTTTGAAGAAAAACAACAGAATCTGAAAGTCACTATTAGGGATAAAAGAAAGACTGCATCCTAAAAATATATTAGTGAGTAACTTTATTCACTTGAGTAGTTCCCACAATGTAAGTAGCTGGTTGGGACTTTTTCAAACCGGTTTTTGCATTGGACAATACAAATTCATCAACACAAACATTTTACAGAAAAAGTTTCTGAGGTCCAGGAAGGAAATTCTGATGTGAAATTGTCTTTAGAATAGCCATCAGGCCCACGTTCAAGTCCCAGCTCTGCAATTCTACCTCATCCCAGATAAATACTCAAACTACCAGGTTACTGGCTATCAGAGATAGCGGTCATTCATTGGGCAAAAGAGAGAATTACTCTATAGCCTGGTGATTAGGGCACATACCTGGGCTGTGGAAGAATGGCAAAGCACAGACTTGAACCTGGGCTTCCCACATCCCAGGTGAGTATTCTTATCACAAGGCTACTGGATGGGTAGATCTCTCTCTATCCCTCCCCTCAACCTCTCAGTGCAGAATGGGAAAGATTTTTGAAATCTGAAAGTTGTGCAGCACAGAAGAACTGTTTCCCATTCAGCTCTAACTCAGATGAGTAAAGAGCTTAACTGTTTGAAGAAATGGGACCTAAAAGGAAAAAAGCCTCAGATTTAGGATCCCAAAAGCTATGGGATCCACACAGCCTCATGCTTGTGCACAGATAAGTGATGAATCTGATACTAAGGGAGGGGAAAGAGTACACAAATATTCAAGTAGGGAGTTATGACAGCTGGTACATGGATTGTTAGTGCTTTTTAACAAAATAAATTTAAAAGGTAATACCGTGATCTGTATCAAATTCTTACTTTGGTATTAAATCCACCATTGCCTCAGCTATAGGTTATTAATCCTAGCCTCACATTTCTTGTTTGGTATTTTCATTTTTAGATTTTTTTTAAGATTTATAAATTAAACTCTTCCCCTTTCATTTTTTGTTCTGTCTGTATTTTTTAAATTATTTTTAGCTGTCACCTTTTCATCTATGTTTATTTTTGTAGAAGCTTAACTAGTTTATATTCAAGTGAATACAAGTGAGTTATCCTCAAACTCTTAATCAGATTTTACTTTCTCTAAGTGATGGATGTACCTTCTTTGAATTATTATTTAATATGTTCCTTAATGAGAAAGAACTTTTGTACAGAATTTATAGTCAAAAGCTGAGTTATGTTATATGTACATATATACATATTTCTAACTTAACAAGCACAAGTAAAGTGCTTTTTCCACAGAACAACAAACAGATTCCAATGTATTGAATAATGTATTTCTATTAATCAATCTCCTCATCAGAGGAATTCGGTCTGCTAAGGAAGCATACATCTTTCTCATACTGACTGACTGATTCTGGTTCTGCATGGTGATAACTCTCTTTCATCCCGGTGGTGGGTTTTTTTTTGGTGACGAATAGTTAAGTACGGAGAACCTCCCATGTTTTAGTCACATGTTTATTGATTAAGCACAATGGAACTGTAACATCTAAAATTGTTGGTTCAAGACTTTTCTTTTAAAGTTACTCACTCTTTAAAAACACGGAACCCCCATGGCTACTTTAACTTACACTGGGCACATTTTGGCCCATTCAGCTGCCCAAAATCTGAGGGTCAGATAAGTGGTATAAAACCACATTTGCTCCCCACCCAGCGTCTGTGCCTCACTTCACCAGCTATAGCTCAGTATGAAAAGTCCTAAGACTTCTGACGTTGTCAGAGGCCAAGACATTATTCAGTTAGACAATTCAACTACTTTTTTTTATATTATTTTTAGCTTTCACCTTTTTCATCTATGTCTATTTTGTAGGAAGAAAAGGAGTTCTTGTGGCACCTTAGAGACTAACCAATTTATTTGAGCATGAGCTTTCGTGAGCTACAGCTCACTTCATCGGATGCATGCCGTGGAAACTGCAGCAGACTTTATTTATACACAGAGAATATGAAAAAATACCTCCTCCCACCCCACTGTCCTGCTGGTAATAGCTTATCTAAAGTGATCATCTAAAGTGGGCCATTTCCAGCACAAATCCAGGTTTTCTCACCCTCCACCCCCCCACACACAATTCACTCTCCTGCTGGTGATAGCCTATCCAAAGTGACAACTCTTTACACAATGTGCATGATAATAAAGTTGGGCCATTTCCTGCACAAATCCAGGTTCTCTCACCCCCTCACCCCCCTCCCAAAAACCACACACACAAACTCACTATCCTGCTGGTAATAGCTCATCCAAAGTGACCATTCTCCCTACAATGTGCATAATTAAGGTGGGCCATTTCCAGCACAAATCCAGGTTTTCTCACATGATTTGTGCTGGAAATGGCCCACCTGATGATCACTTTAGATAAGCTATTACCAGCAGGACAGTGGGGTGGGAGGAGGTATTTTTTCATATTCTCTGTGTATAAATAAAGTCTGCTGCAGTTTCCACGGCATGCATCCGATGAAGTGAGCTGTAGCTCAAATAAATTGGTTAGTCTCTAAGGTGCCACAAGTACTCCTTTTCTTTTTGCGAATACAGACTAACACGGCTGTTACTCTGAAACCTGTTATTTTGTAGGAGCGCAACTAGTTGGTATGCAAGTGAATACTACTAGTGAGTTATCCTCAAAACTCTTAATAAAAGGCCAGATTTTATGTATACCAGACAAAAATTAAGAGTCCACTAAAAATAAATAAATAAATAAATATTGTTGGGAGGGAGAACATTCTTTCAGCAGTTTTTTAGTCCGGAAGTGTCAGTTTTATAAAGATTTTAAAATACCATTTCAGATGTAGTCAAGCTGCTAAGATATTCAAGAATCTGCTTCAGAAAAAAAGGCTTCAGGATCGTACATCGGAAATGCAATGTATTAAACGTGTTTTTACAGATCCCTGCATGTTTAATTAAGAGTCTGAAAATAAAACACGTGCAGAGATCCCTACTGAGGAATTAGTAAATGCATTGTATGACAGTTGCAGCTCCTGTAGAGAATGTAGAGCGGTAAGATAACAGTGTTGTGAATTCAGCACTTCTGTTCTTAAAACGTCCCCTCATTCTAAGTACTTATAGTGTCCCAATCAA